TTTACATTTTTTTATAAACTAACTTATAAACTGTGTTAAAAAAATGGCATCCATTCCAGTATTGTCCATCTTTAAAGCATCTTTACATTAACAATATTTCAGTTTCAATATAATAATATTTTACCTATAACTCATCAGTAATTTTAAAATAAATGTGAATGACTAGCTTTAGCAGTATTTCAAACTATCTTACATATTACTAAAAATATTAATTTTCACATACTTATTTGTATTGACTGAAATCGAAAATAGATGAATGAATAGAAATAAAAATACAATTATAAACAAATTTATAATCTAAAATTAATAATAGAATGAGAAAAAAGCATGAAATAATAAATTGAAGAAACTAGAAACTTTTTAATAAAGATAAAATTTGATATTTAAGTTCATTCATCATTCTGCCTAGGCCATCAAAGCTCCATATATTGGTCAGTTTGAAAATTTGACTGGTATCTTTCTCAAATGTTGGAAGACTGATAGTGGCAGATGAAGGTACATCAAGAATCGGTGATTACGCTTAATCAGAACTCGGCCTAAACACCGAAGAGAAACATTGTCTCTTCTTGATGCTTGGTCCAAACTCAGTATTTTCTGCACTGTGCTTAATGGGTTCTCTTGTGTGCAGTATAGGGATGCAAATACACTCTTTTGCAAAAAAATCGAAGCACCAAGAAGGACTTTTGCGATCGTGATGAAATTTGGCATGCAAAAACATGTTTATCAAACATGCAAATGATCAAAGTTTGAAGGCAAATGAACAGGAATTGCAATCATTTCTAGTGCGCAATTCGCAAAGTATTAAAGCAGTAACAGAGGTGGAAAATTTATATTTTTGTTGCTGCCATTTTAATACCGAATAGAATCAACTAAAGATGGCCATTACAATATCAAAGACCTTACAGACAACTAAACAACTTTTAACATGGTTGCATTGTAGGTTTGCATGAAGCTGGATGGTCATACTGAGCCATAGACCGCCACCTGCAGCATACAGACACTGCTGTGCAAAGATGTTGCCAGCAATGGTTGCTACAAGGAAATTGCCGACAAAATGAAGGCTCTGGAAGGCCAAGAGCACAAATGCGAGGCAAGATGGGAAGATTATTCGCCAAGCCCAAACCACCCAAATGGTATCCTTGTCGACTATTCAACTCACTACAGCCACCATCTCACTGTGCTTGTCTGAGGCAGGGTTACACTCACAGAGGTCTTTAAGACGTTTGCTGTTGACTCCACAAAATTGGCAGAGTTGTCTGGAGTGGTGTCCCAGCGGATCATCATGGCTGCCATCAGACTGGCATCGTATAGTCTTCAGCGATGAATCTCGCTTCACTCTTGAAGCAGATGACCACCGTGTTCGTGTCTGGAGAGGACGGGGCCAGTGGTCCCAATCAGCCTTTGTTTTACAAAAGCATACACCCATAACCCCTGGTGTGATGGTGTGGGGCGCTATTTCTTATGACAGCAGGTCATCTTTAGTCATCCACCGTACATCTTTAACAGCTCAGCGATATGTTGATACCATCCTGAGACCGGTTGCATTACCCTTAATCGCATGCCATCCTGGGGCCATTTTTCAACAAGATAATGCCAGGCCACATACTGCTCATATCTCGGGACTGTCTCCATGCGGTTGATACTCTTCCTTGGCCAGCAAGGTCGCAAGGCCTTTCACCAATTGATCATGTCTGGGAATGGTAGGCTGCCAGATTCGGGCACCACAAAATATCGCAGATCTGGGGTTGACAACCGATGAATGCCTGGCAGAATGTGTCGCAGAATGACATTAGGAACTTCTACCACTTCTTGTCTCAACGACTTCAAGCATGCAATGGTGCCAAGGGCGGTTTGACCAACAACTAATTTGAACACTCAATGGGTGATTGTGAGCTGTGAACAGGTACTATGACCTTGATTTTTTAATATTTTTATTATCTGTGTATGAGCTATACACATATTCAGTTTCCTCAAAGACAACCACTTCCTTCATGGTTCTTAGGTTTTTTTGCAAAAGAGTGTGTATTAGATCTTTAAAGCCCTGCGTTCACCTTTTCCTGTGTACATTTGAAATTCAGTTTCATGGACAACAGCACTCATCTACATAGGGCTAATCTGTTGTTTTTCCCCCTGGAAAATTTCGTTAGGACTGGCTAGCCAATCTCCAGACTAAAACCCTGTAGAACATGTCTAGAATGCTCTTGAGTGATGTGCAATAGCAAGTCTCTTTCCAAGACCTGAAGACAGCATAGCTGCAGGAATGAAATCAGCTGCCACATGAACTTATGAACTGGCTCATTTGCAATATGAAGTCACCTTCTGAAATCTGTATGACTGTTAGAGAGAATCATACTTCTTGTTAAGCTCCCTTTTTAATTTGATCTTGCTACCTTTGTTTTAGATCTTATAGGGGTGCATCTTAACCTTCCAGCGCGCGCACATGCCCAAAATTTATGACAAATTCAGTTTTTAATGCACATTTTTCGCATATCGAAGCTGAGATGCCTGAAGGTCATTTCTATTCCTCCTTTCTACCCTTCACATCATGGGATGTACCAACAATAAGTTATTTGACTTTTTTTTAAAACTGGGTTTTTGTGCTACGTGGCAGCTTTTTCATAAAAGTTATGACATGCGCGTGGTCATGTTTTAAAATTCGAAAAATATTTTTTTCTCAAATATTTTGTCATTTTGTGTTATTAATTGCTAGGTATTATTTTAATTTGAATACATTTCACTCTGTAAATTTTATATCGGTTTTCATGGCAAAAAAATATGTGCAACCAGCTGATTTAGCTCGGATTCTTCAAGAATTATCTGATGAAGAAAATGAAGACAAAGAAACCTGTGGATGGGAGAACAATGGAAATTTTCATTCCTTATTTTCTTTTATTTCTATTTTTAGAAATAAAAACATTAAAGCTAGTTTAAAGTGTGTTTTTGTAACCAGGAAGAAGTAAATTTCCTTGCAGAATTAAGTAATGCAAAACTTGCTTTTTTTCCTACCAATGTGTTTTTTCTTTTTTATTGTCTATACTTGTCTTCAATGAATATTAAAATTAGCTTCAATTTCAAAATATAATTATTAAAAATAAATTTAAAATTCCCTGTAGTGAAATACATCATTGCATTTCCATCTCATTAACATAAGAACTTAAATAATTTACTTATATTTGAATGTGATATCATTTGTATTTTGCAATAATATGATTAATATTTTATTTTTGAACAAATTTATTATCAATATTCACGCATTTCTGTCGTTTTTCGTGCCAAAAACGGTAAAATAACTAATGTCGTAAAAAATACGATGCACGAGTGCTCATGTAAAATTGCCAAACGTGCGTGCTGGAAAGTTAAACATTATCATGGATGTGCACCATGGTATAATTTTTATATTATAGAAACCTATATCTATACTGAATTTCACTAAAATCTGTCCATCAATTCTGGACATAATTGACCAAATGTGAAATTTTATCGATTTTGAACACAGTATGTTCTCAAAATATCTTACAAGGGGGTTGACTGCTGCAACAATGGCTTTCATGACATCTTCCCGAGTCCACAAGTGTCTCAAACATCAATGATTTCATTTGCCTCAAAAAAATACTAGAGGGATGCCAGGCGACAGGGTTACCATATCCAATCTACCATCTGGTGTATGTGATGTTCAGGATGTTTCGGTTTATAGTAAAGTGTGCTAGGGCCCTGTTATGCATAAATTACATGCCCCTCTGTGGAACAGCCTAAACTTCTAGGAAGACACGGTATGCTCTGCTGGTCATATTTTCCGGAAACAATTAAGAACTCGCCAAAAACGCAAATTGCAAATCTCTGCTGGTGTAAATGAGGGACAATGATGTAGGAATTCCTTTCAGCCCTGTGAGCGTTAAAAATCCGTTCTCAATTCACCCTCTAAGCGGCAATTACAATATTTTTTGTGATATCTGTAAGAACATATATATACATGCATATTAAAATATGTCAAAAAAATTAAGGCAATATATCAAAAGAAAACAAATCCAGGTATGAAATACTGGGAGAGTTTTTACATTAAAATAATTTGTTCTCATAGTAGTTTTGGCAAATTTGTGCTTTCTTAGCGAAAACCCTGGCCGCTCAGAGGGTTAAATTAGGTGTAATCAGTGAATAACCCTCAGGGCCAGATTATACGAAATTTTTCATAAAGGAAGTTTATTATCTAGTATGATGTGTGGGAGATATTTCTTGTCAGTGAAACCACATACTTATGCTGTATCTTTCATCTAGAGCATGCGAAAGAAAATTGTCAGGGTAATTTACCGTAACTGCATTTGAGACAGTATCTTCAAAAAGGAAAGGTCTATAATATGCTTCCTGCCTAAAAACCATGCTAAACAGTTGTTCTTAAGGACAATTAGGCACTATTAGATGACCATAGGGTTTTCTTGACCCTAAATGCAGCAACTTTGGCTGTTGATAAACTGAAGCAGAAGGAAATATGCCTCATTAGTCTTTTTAAAAAACTGTCTTCTTGTTTTGCCAAAATTCACTCCATTTCTGAAATCTCTTTCATTCTTGATAGTATTTTGGTTTAAATTGTATCAAATGAATCTTTTCGGTGCATACTCACTGTTTATTTCACTGAGAATATAGACTTTCACACTGTCTTTCATCACTGCAATATTTTGTACACCATTCAATATTGTCCTGGTGATTTTATGTGTGCCTTTAAACCCATATTTCTTGAATTTCATTATCAACTGCGTACCTTGTTTTTTATGTCACTTTAATGTTCAAAGATAGCATAAAGTTTACAAATTGTATTATTATTACCGTCTTATATTAAAGTATTTTAAAGAAATGCTTTGAATTAATTATACAGAAAGTGAACGTGAAATTTGAGTGTAATGTTTTGGGGCATATTGGAATTAATATTTGCATGGAAAAATAAAAAATACATTACATTAGTTTCCATTTGTATTCATATGACTAATTAGCAACAACACTATTTTCAGGAATCTGTCCGGCAAAAAGAACTGACTAGATTTTACCTCCAAAAAAAAGAAAATGTTTCAAGTTCCAATGTAGCTCTCTTTGTAGGCAATCTCCCACCTAATTTATCTCAAAGGCAATATGAAAAAATTCTAGTTGATAAATTAGGAAAACGTAAGTACATGCAAAATTACTCAATTATTTCATATTTTACATTTTTTAACCTTTTATAAAATGTTAAATAACTGTTTTAAGGTACATTTCAAAGTTTTCTTAGCTCAATTTAAATTATCTTGTGATGGATTGTCTGTGTACATAAAAAGAGTTAAATGCCAAAGTAATAATCTGTGTGACGAATGTTTTAGGTTAAAAGTTGCTGATGTCTTACTATTAATCTCATTCAGATATATTTTATCTCACTTTGCAGCTACATTTAAAGTAAAATTTAACCTTGTATGTGCTTTGTTTTGAGGCAACTATGATTAATTTTTTTTTATTCTTTATGGTACTGTAAATAAATGCAAAAATTATATTGGAGTTATATTATTGGGTTGTTGCAAATGAAATGGCCATTGAATGACATCAAGTTCTAACTGGTAGTGGAAGTGAGTGAACTTTGAGGATTATGCAAAATTTTGACCATGTGCGGCTGTTTCAACCATGTAGCAAATCATTAAGATAGGAAATTGTGCCTCGTACTTAATATTTTCCTAACATTTCCTTGAGAAGTTACCATTTTTTCTAGCACTTTGAACCATTGCTGTACAAGAAATGCTTTGCCAAAAGCACGTTAGGCTATTGAGCAGTGAAGGACTTCTATCATTCTTGATTTTTGCAAATGCAGCTCAAGTCAAGGCTTGTGAAACTTCTCCTCTTGGTGACCCTTTTTATCGGAGCAAATATCTTCATGACTTGGGCATAGATATATATCAACTAGAAATTCAAACTTAAATATTGGTTGATAATTAAATAATACAGAAATTGTATTCTAAAGCAGTTCTTTTGATATATGAATATAATTTTGCCATGTATTAAAGGTGAGGCTAAATGTTTATACTATTGAACTTAGTGTGCTTCTTTGCTTAAAGACTGAAATCTGTAATATTTTTTAAATATTATATTACATGAAGTAGAGGTTCTTCAACTTATTACAGAATTGACTAGTTTATCGAATTTATGAAAGGTCTACTCAGTAATTAGGTCCTATGAGTTTGCAAATAAATGTAATGAGTCATTTAGTTTCAAAACCTTCATTTATTTAAACAGGTTATACCCAAAGTAACCAAAAGCGTTCTTGCCATTTTGACAGTCAGAAAGAAAAAGTCATAAAACAAATAATAATCACTGCTAATCCTCAAAGTAATCACCATCGGCATAAAGTGTCTTTTGCCAACGAGTGGCTAGCTGTGCGAAGCCATCACGGTAAAACTTGGGAGTCTTGGATGCAAAGTTTTCTGTGAGGGGATTTTTCGAGGTCTGTCCTGGGAATGGAAAAGGTGGTAGTCTGTTGGCATGAGGTCTGGGAAATATGGTGGATAGAGTAGTGTCTCCTAGCCCAGTCGCTGGTGGTGTCCTTCGTCTCCCGAGCCACATGCGGCCTCACATTGTCATGGAGGAGTACACCCTTATGATTGACCAGTGCTGGTTCTTTATGCATCAGTGGCTGATGACGCCTGTCGTGATGGATAGGCTCACTGGCAAGAGCTCAAAATGCACCATTTTGTGACTAGTCCACCAGATACAGAGCATGACCTTGTGTGGTTGGAGATAAGGTCTCACAGTGTGAGACGCAGGTTTTTGTGGTGACAACCAATGCCTGGGTGTCTCATACTGGACCCAATTTTCATCGTTGGTGAGTACTTGATCAAATATGGATGCATTTAGGTACCGAGTAAGCAATGATAAACAGGCACTGTTGCCTGTTTTCATCAGACAGTGGGTGGGGTACCCACTTGCTCAGCTTGTAGGCCTTTCCTATGCAGTGCAAATGGAGTCTGATCGTTTTACCTGAAAGTGTGCAGCAAGCTCACAACATGTTTGGCTATTGTCACTCCAAGGTGCTCTCAGGGCCTCATCATCCAGCGCTTGTGGCCGACCGCTGCGTTGCATCGCTAAGAGACATATCCCCTGACTTGAACTTCTGGAACCAGTGGCTAGCGGTTCATTCGTTAAACATCCCCAAAGGCCCGGAAAATTCAATGACTTGATTCCGTGTGTTGACGGGCCCACTTTAAATCATACAGCAAACAACTCCAAACGAGCACCTTTTACATGTCCATTTCAGTCAGTCGCTATGTGAGTTATGTTTGAAGTACCAATGCATTGCTTGGTATTATTATTTTATACTCTTGGTCAGTGTTCAGACTCCCATCCTAACCTTTTCATCGCCAGGTTTGGAAACTGTTTTTATGTTGGGGTTAGCTTTTCCAATGTCATATTAGAAACAGCAAGAACTTTCTTGGTTACCTTGTAGAACTTAATTACAGTTGTCTGTAAATTAACTGTATAATACAGAAAGCGACAAAATTATATGCCACTAAGATGTCATATTTCCTTAAATAATAAAGCTTATAAGAATTTTCTTACAAAGCAAGGTTGATGTTCTAGCAAATGGTTTGAGTAAATCAATGGGAAAACAAAACGTATGCCTCTTCCATAAAGCAGAGACATTGTAAATAATGCTAATAATTCTTGAAAACATCTACAGTACAAAGTCTTTAATCTGGACTTGTCGGGACTTCGGCGATTCCGGATTAGGGTTTTTTTCGGATTATAGATCATCAATTTAAATCTGGTAAGATGGCATGCAGAAATTATAAAATTAAAAATATGAAACCGTAATTTATGAAATAAAGAGCAATTATGATCTAAAGGGTATCAAAATTTATAAAAAAAAAAAGCTTAATATTTATTTGTTTACTTTATGAAACATTTCTTTTAATGCGCGCATGTGTAAAGCATGCATTACGCATAGTCATAATTAGAAAATTGCAACCAGAAAACTATTTGATGTGTACTCGTGATATTGATAATGACGAGGAACTTGATTTAAATCATACCGAAGACGGAATACATCAAGATGAAATACTACAATTAGTAAGGAATTATAAGCCCAATTAAAAAAAAAATCTGCCCTGAAGATAAGGATAGTGCTGACATCAACTTCTAGCTCATAGTGCGCCGCGATGTCCCCCCCTCCCCCCGCAAAGCAGCGTGAAATTGATAAACAGATTTCGGAATGGTTAGAGAAACAAAGGATATGCCTTTATCCATTCTTTGCAGCAATTCCACTTTTTCTTTGATGGACATCGAAACATACTTTCGCTTTGGCAGCTCCAGCATTGGAAATTCTATTTGACATAATCAAAAGTTCAAGCTTACTTTTATAAAATTGCTCTAACAGTCTGCAAAAAATAATAAGCCAGATCCAATTAGAAGATTTAGGAACAATGCATTCTGCAACATTAACTGAAATAGATAATTTTAGCCTAGCTTATACCGTCCGTTATACATTAATTGCATAATGCGTTTACGCATGCGCAGAAAGTTTGTAGCTTTGAGGTCTGTATTAAAACTTTGTACTGTATAACCTTTTAGACGAATAATGACTGATGACAGATCCACTCATGATTGGTCTTCAAAACTTCTCTCAGATTTGAAATTTTAAATTAGTTTTCTGGTATTGCACATCCAGAATTTTAAAATATTTATAAAATTTCTTAGCTCGTCTCCAATTACATGAATCCATATGGGATTGTAACACACATATTGCTCTTTATGAACACTCATATCAAAAAGCTCTTTTTATCCCTTTCAGGACGGGCGTCCCATATACACATTCCCTGAGAATGTCTTACAGCCGGGCGTTTCATCCACGTATCACTAGAGATTGCATTCAGAGAACGGGTGATTTGTATATGCATTTTAAGCTGGAAGGTTTTTCTTAAGGCCACTAGATTGCATCCTGTGTCCATTACTTTTGAATTGAACACAGTTTTAGGTTCCTGACCTTGAGTTTGATATATTCTGCTTGACTTTGGTATTTTACTCATCAGCTCTTGCGAGGTTGGGGAGGGGAGGCAAAGTGTAAACAGAGGTAAGCTCTTTAAATTGCTGCGTGCTAATGCAGACATTCACGTGTCTGATTTACATCCAATTCCTTTTTTTATTCTATACTTCTACTATGCACAGTCTTTTAGGGTTAGTATGTGGAATATTGTTACGTTTTGCGTTGGCTTCAGATGTATTTCCGTTTCTTCTCTTTTTATTTCGGAAAGCCTCACCTTCAGTCTATTATGGCAAGAAGGCACTATTTATCAGAAGAAGAATACCCTCGTATGGTCAATGAACCATTTGTTAATGCAGATGAGAGTGATGATTCATTTTCTAAAGAGTTAGAAAGAGATACTTCTCCGTGCTTCAAGATTTACCACACTGTCTTCATTTTAAATTTTGTTACTTCTTACTGTGAATAGGCTTTATTGTGTTGTTTTATTAATTTTAAACTTTATTGATGGATTTTATCAATTAAAACTTTGCAATAATTTGAATACCGCTTTCGAAAATTATTTTACAAGATACGCAATTTTTTAAGAATATTTTCATGTAAAATAAAGAAAAAAAGTTATTAAGTGCTAATTTTAACATATATAAGAGCTCAAGTAATAACCTAAAATGATACCAAAAATTACGATGCTAGAAGCAAAACTTTTTTTTTCCCCCTGATATATTTTTATATATATATATATAAAATTAGGCTTAGATATGCAAAACCTTTGTCGAGCGTCTTAAACAAAGGTGTGCCGTCGCAAAAGGGTTGTTAATGATCTTTCTAGTTGTAAGCAAAAGTGCATTGATACTACTGGAAATTAGTGTTGCCAGGAATTTTTTTAATTACATTGCAAAAGAAGTCACAAATGACATCAGAGATCACATGATTTTTGTGACGTCATAGTTATGCATGCTCACATGACCTCTGACATCATTTCAAATTTTCTATCTATTGGTTCTGTAAGTTACAGACTGTATTCGATTTTTAGTCATTTTAATTACGTATCTTAGCTTCAATGAAAATTTTAAAACTATGTTGCTCATTTTCAATTGTTTAAACATCCATTTCTTTTTTATTCTCATTTAATTTAGCTTCTATTTTTAATTTAATTTGTGCATATCAATTCTTAAGAGATTCCTCATGTTTAGATTGTTAGCGCTTTTGTACTTTTTTGTGTGTGTGTGAGGTGGCAGTTAGTTTTTTTAATTCATTTTCCCCCGTAATTGTGAACTTGTTAATTGAGGACTGTTTCTCAGTGAGTTTTCTATTCTGGCTGGTGGGCTTATTTCGGATAACTGTTAAATTTATGTTGTTATTTAGAAAAATGCTGTTGCATCGATTTTTAAGCCATTGCGTAGTTCTTAGCAATATTATAATCAGGAGAATGAATTTCATTTCTTTCTCTGTTTGAGTACCCAGTGTCGCTCAAGCTGCAAGTTCTTTTGTTCGATTCGTTATCACCGTAGAAACAGGGGGTGAACTGATTTAAAATACATGGGAGATGAGGAAGGAAGGTGAGAGGTCTCGAAGTACTTTTTTTTTCTTTCTTTCCCACTTGTTCCCCTTCCTCGATGTACTGGTGTCAGGCTGTGCAGCCTTGAAAAAAGAAAGCCCACATGTATACAGAATTGCCAGATGCCAACTTCTATTTAAGCCTAAATAAAAGCCTAAATAATACAAATTATTTTTAATTGATACATTATTTTAACGTATAAGCATTTTATGATGTACTAAAAAAAATCTTTGAAGTTGCAAAAGTAGCCTAAGGAAATTCATGGAAGTCTCAAAATCACAAATACTAAAATTTTAGCAACACAAGTTTGTGAAAAATTGCACAATCTGGCAACATTGCTTGGAGATTACTTTGATTATATGGATATTCTTAATTCTTTTATTTATTTATATTTTCAGTCAGCCTTAAAGTGAGCCATTTTCTTTTTGAATAATTGAAAATTAAACTAAATAAATTTAGAATATTTTCATGTTTTAGTACAGTATGTTGTGCAAGATGAGTGTGTTAAAATTAACTTTTGTCTTCTCGATTAAATATTGTAGCACACAACAACTTTATAGTAAGTAAATAATCCAGCATTATTTAGCTGTTAGAAAATATGCTGCTTTTTGTTGACTTGGGGTTTAATCCGTAATTTCTGTACTAGCATTAGTAAAAAAGATTATAGCACCTGAATTAGTTCAGAAATTTCCGAGTAGCATTTTAATGAAGGATTAGTGTAGATTCAAACTGCAGTAGATGTCATATCTATATTTGCTGTATGAGTAAAGGAACCTCCATGGAAGAGTGCAGCGATCAGCAACTTTTGGAATACATGTGAAGTGTGATGAATCAAATGATATTAATGTCACACTAAGTAAATTGAAATAGAATAATTTAATGGTTTATTAAATAAAAGCATATAAGTAATTTATCAGAAGGTTCTTTTTAAGCAGTGGGAAGGATTTAGTTGAAAATTAAGACATTTTGCTAGGACATTACAAGTAGCAAGTGTTGCACCAATTCCTGGTGTTGCAATTTTAATGTTCAACACTATTTTTAGGGTACTCCTTAATTACCTTAAACTTGGTCTGTAGTGAGACTGACATGTGACTTATTGCCCCACCTATTAAAGTAATTACTACTTGTATGGTTTAAATGAGAGTTTTTATTAAAAAGCTTTAAACTTAACAGATGCATCGTTTATTCAGTCAGGTACAGGTAGAAGCTAAGCCAGCACCTCTATAGTACCATAGGTGATTGAGGTATTTCTGTTCCTAGCTAACTGCGAGTTTTCATCTAATTTGGACTTCTGAAAGAAAACATCCTGGAGGTGATTTGAGCATCTGCCACTAATCTTCCTCTACCACCAAACTCTCTAGGGAATTTCACCTCACTGTGTTATTTTGAGTGCCCCCTTGCCATACCTGCACTTACCATAACCCAAGGGAACATCCATGCGTTCCCTTAGATTAGAACTCAAGCGACATAATAATCTAAGAACTTAAAATATAACGAACATATAAAATAATTTAATGGAGCATCACAATACCTTCAAATTAATCTAACTTCATGAACAAATTTGGCTTGCAGAAGGTGATATCAGAACTGGGCAACAAAATGCTACAAATGTCAGCATTGCTGGGAAGGTTTTGTCTCTGTCTTTCGAGAAGTCTGTTCATATATACATTTTTATTTCTTGGTAAATTCTACCAAAAATAGATTTGATAGTATAGATAAAATAAGTTAATTTACGTAAGCATCATGTATTTGTATTATTAAAATTTGCATGAGAAAAGTTAATGAAGATCGATTCAGAGATGCAAAGAGCCTGGTAAATTCAGAAACTTGCATTGCAATAAATAAGTGCATAAAAATGCTGTGAAACAGAAAGCACCTGAACTGCAACTTCTTTCACTATTCAGTTATTTATTATTTTAATAAACTATGTAACTTATGTATTTTTCTCTTAATATATGTGTGTCTCTTAATATATGTCTATATGAGTGTGTGTACATTTTTATGTGTATTTTTTTCATAGCTTATAAATTTCGCCAAATTGGCCCAATTTATTATGAATATGGGTCACTTATCATTACCTATGACAATGCAGACATTGCTGTCAAGGCTTTCTATATGCTGCGTGAAACGAGTTATGAAGATAAGAATTTACTAGTTCTTTTGCTTCCAAATATTATACCAGAGATGATTCCTGAAGGAACTAGGGTAAGAAAGTTTTTTTTTTTTTTTTTTTTTTTTTTGGCAGAGAGAGTAGATTTATAGCTTTATTTATTCATTGTGTAGTAAACAACAACAAACTCTTAGAACCACTCCTGCGGCATTTTGTAATGATTGCTGTCAGTAAGTGGGTTTGAATCCATGCCTTTTAGACACTCCGCAATAGGCAGGGGGAGACAGGTGCTAACTACCAAGGTGTTGAAAAGCCAATAGGCTAAAATGAGGTAGAGCACGTCAGCAGAGAAAGGGGACCTCAAAGAAAAGCCAAATGGCTGAAAGAGGTGGGGGTGCTTTTCGGCTAAAAAATTGTTCTACAGTAAAAGCGCAACTATCCATAAAGTTCTGAAAATGCTAGATAGATGAACATTTCAGATAGTTGAACTTAGAAAAATTGCAATTTGCGGTAGCAAAGCCAAAAGAATGGAAAAAGAAATTTCCAGTTTCAAATTATAAAAACAGTCGCTTTATTTATAATCAAAAGCCCACATTTAAAATTAAATAAATCTTTGAAAAAACATTTTGGGCATAAAAAGCCAATATATTTTCATAGGCCTTAAACAAATAAAACATCTGCTTACAAAATGCTGTCAACCATGAAAGTTTGTGGATATCCCACCCAATTTGCACCAACCATACCAGGAGAAGTATAAAGGAACAGACCTTTTTTTTTTTCAGTTAGATAATCAACAGATACAAGGTTTGGATGTAGGATATTAAACAAATCACAAGTATTTCACATAGTATCACCATTGTCTAACAATTTTCAAGTAAAATTGCATATTGCATTCATTGATGCCGATTTTCGTGCTTTCAAGATCCTATAATTTTGAAAATGTTCTCCTATTCCATAGAAGGCAAGTCTCAAATTTTAATTCTATTTTTATATTTATATATATATATATATATAATGCAGGAAGAGAAAAACAAATAGTTAACTTATATCCACCTTTATAAAGATGAATCGGCTTATCCAGTTAATCAGGTTATTTAAAAACTTGACAATTATTCATTGTGATCATTATTGGCACTCTATCTCACTGTCTGCTTCCTTTTTTTTTAATGTTTCAGTGAGAAAGACATCTAAGAAGGATGTCCAATTCCAAGGATGAATTTTTGGAATAATATAGTAGATACAATAGTGAGGGAAGCAACATGCTCTGAAAGAGAGCATGTAATTGTATTCCCATTTTAGGTGTTATAAACAGAATTCCCAATTCTAGTCCTACATGTGCTTTATAGTATCTTTGCAAGTCCCTTATTTGCATAATTTTTTGTTAAAAATAATCTAAAATTTTAATTCAGTTAAGTGAATGCTGAATAACCAGGCTTTTACTGTATTTCATATTTAAGAAAAAATTTCTGATGTAGAAGGTGAAGTAAGATTAAATTTGTTATTATTTTTTTTCCCCTTATAACTTTGGGTAGTCATGTAAGTAAAGAGGGAGGCTGTAAAATATGTTTATATTTGAACTTCACTTTTAAAAAGCGAAATCTAAAATGAGATTGAAAAGCACATGAAGAATCCCAGGGGTGTTTGTGCTCCGGGGAAACCCGGTATTCCGGGGATTTTGAACTTCGATACCCGGAAATTCCGGGGATCGTCGTTCAAAAGGAAGTAGGAATAATAATGAATTATTTATTTTGATCTGGGTAATTTTGTTTGCTTTGAAAGCAGAAAATGCAAGGTTAGTGTGTGTGGTGAAAACTTTTCCTTTCTTTCTCCAAAGGCAGTGATAATGCGTGAAAAGGGGGAAAAAATTCTTTTTTTGTTCTTTCCTTATTGCGAGTTATGACTCATTCCCCCGGTTCTCGGACATTCTCTTCTGGATTCTTTTCGGCAAGTAGGCGCGGCAGAAAAAAAAGGGAGAGACTTCGTTCGACCAGATGTGCGATCACGTGACTCTGGGTTCAAAGGTCTTATCTCTCCTGGCGTGGCGCCAATAAGTAGAGAAGGGGGATTTTTTCGCCGTATTAGCTATTTGTCATTGATCGCTTCTCAACTTTTTTTTTTTCTCCGCTGTGTAAAATTTTCGTTTCATTTATTGATGCACGTGTAAATTTTTTCGTTTCGTTTATTGAAATATTTTTTTTATTTATGTACGCAAGAGAATTTCACTATGAAATTTCTCGATATAAATAGTGATATTATACAATTAGAAGAAGGTGTCCGGAATGCATTTAGGTGGAATTGGATTGAACGGAGAGATGGTAATGGGGATACCATCGGCACATGGTGCAAGAAAATAAATGTTGCTGGACAAGCATATTGTTTTTTTTTTTTTGTAACTCACTGCTGAAGTATGGTGGGGAAGGATTCAAGGCTTTCACAAATCATTCTAAAACTGTGACGCACATAAAATATTCAAAGTGCATTAGACATTCAATGACTTTAAGTAATTATGCTAATTCAAAAAATACTGATGACTTACTGGAGACTGATGCTCGGCCATTGGATATAGTGACAAGAAAAGCACGCCAAGAGGTATTAATAACTTCGTTTATCGCCGAGAATTCTCTTTCTTTCAATGTAGCTCCCAATTTAATTGAACTCTGCAAACAGTTGAGCCGCGATCAGACGGCACTAAACTCGTTGGAAATGTCCAGGACTACTGCATGTTATAAGATGAAATATGGGCTCGCAAAAACTATTAAGGAAAATATCATTAAAACTTTAAAGGAGACTCCATTTTCTCTAAATTTGGATGAAAGTACTAGCAATGCTCAAGAAAGTATACTGGCAATATTGGTGCAGTTTTATGACAACAATCAAAATGAAGTTGTAGTTCATCATTTTTGCATCTCTAAAGATGGAATCTTGCAATTCAGAAGCTGTTTTTTTAAAGCAGTTGTTAATACTATTGAAGATAATATTCCATGGGCAAACTTAATTAGTGTATTAATGGACTCATGTAACACCATGCGTGGAAAAAAAAAAGGGTGTTGAAACCAGACTACGATCAAACAAAGCACCCCACTTATTAGATATTGATGGTGACACATGTCACACAGCTAATAACTGTGCAAAAAAATTTGCTTCATGTTTTGATAGATACTTAGAAGATTTGTTTGATGACATCTATTTTGATATGAAAAGCTGCAGTAAAAGAGAAAATTTTTTCAAAATCTGTGAATCCCTTGCCATTAAAAAACTTAAGCCCTTGAAGAGACCAGACCATAGGTGGGTGTACATTTTATGTGTTTTAGAAAGAATCAAAGATCTGTGGGATGCTCTTATTGCATTTTATTTTCACTACTTGGATAAAACTGATAAAGGGGATTATTTTTCTTATGTTGAAACTGTATACAATAAAAGAAATATTTCTGCAGCTCAGAAAAAAATTGTTGAAGGGGTGTATTCTTGCTTGCATTCCCAACAACTCACAAAGGATGCTTTAGCTCGGAAAAAAAGAATACTAAATGGGTTATTTGTTATGCAAAACAAAACTTTATTGCATATGGCATTATATTCAGCAGTATTACCAGAGTTCAACACATATATTAAATTATTTGAAACAAAAAAAAAAACCAATGCTTCATTTAATACATTCCAGTATTTATAAATTGATGGCAAAATTTTTCTCTTTTTTTTATGAAGCCAGAAAATATAGAGTGCACATCTTATAATGATTTATTAAAGGTTGATGTCACAAATCCAGAATTCCATCTACCTAGCAAAGTAATATTTACTGGTGCAGAAGCTTCCACTCTCCTGAAGAAATTATCAAAAAATCATCCAATAGCAAAAGAATTCCAAATTTCTCTGATGAAAGCTTATACTAATACAGCACACAGCATATGAAACAGAAATTACCCCTTAAAAATTCATATCTAATTAGTTTTACAGCATTAGATCCAGAGCTAAGAGGTAAAACCAGTACAATATTAGCTTTTGAAAAATTATCATCTTTTATGTCCCATATTTTTAGTGATAATGAAAAGTCAAAAGTAGAAGCTGAAATAAGGTTATACCAGAGTGATATTGATATCACCAAAGAAATGCTCTACACATCTGATGAAAGTGGAAATCAAGTCAAGTGTACAATTGATAAATATTGGTCTAAAGTTTTTAATTTAAAAGATGATTTCACAAATGATTATAAGTATCCTACATTGGCTAAATTGGTCAAATCCTGCCTTAGCTGCTTCCATGGCCCATTAGTGGAAAGTGCATTCAACTTAATGGATACACTTATCACTGACTATAGAACCTCTCTTAAGATTGATTCCCTAGATGCAGTGCAGACTATTAAATATGATTTAATGGCTTCTAAAGAAACCTCATGTGAATTGGATTGAACGGAGAGATGGTAATGGGGATACCATCGGCAGTGCAAGAAAATAAATGTTGCTGGACAAGCATATTGTGTTTTTTGTAACTCACTGCTGAAGTATGGTGGGGAAGGATTCAAGGCTTTCACAAATCATTCTAAAACTGTGATGCACATAAAATATTCAAAGTGCATTAGATATTCAATGACTTTAAGTAATTATGCTAATTAATTCAAAAAATACTGATGACTTACTTACTGGAGACTGATGCTCGGCCATTGGATATAGTGACAAGAAAAGCACGCCAAGAGGTATTAATAACTTCGTTTATCGCCGAGAATTCTCTTTCTTTCAATGTAGCTCCCAATTTAATTGAACTCTGCAAACAGTTGAGCCGCGATCAGACGGCACTAAACTCGTTGGAAATGTCCAGGACTACTGCATGTTATAAGATGAAATATGGGCTCGCAAAAACTATTAAGGAAAATATCATTAAAACTTTAAAGGAGACTCCATTTTCTCTAAATTTGGATGAAAGTACTAGCAATGCTCAAGAAAGTATACTGGCAATATTGGTGCAGTTTTATGACAACAATCAAAATGAAGTTGTAGTTCATCATTTTGCATCTCTAAAGATGGAATCTTGCAATTCAGAAGCTGTTTTTAAAGCAGTTGTTAATACTATTGAAGATAATAATATTCCATGGGCAAACTTAATT